AAGCGTGATCCCATCATCAGAGTAAGATGAACCAAGCCAAAGAATGAGTCACTAAAACTTCACTTGGTAAGAAAGAAAACTGAGTATAAATATAGTGAAGTTGTGTTTGCTCGTGAGCTAGTGAAATTCGGCTACAGGGAGTGGATGCAGATTCTTGAAATCATCAACAAGCATAAAAGTGTTCATGCTCAATAAGTGAAGTTGGCCATCCAGCAACTTCTCAACAAAGTGAATAAATTGAACTTGGTGTCCATCAGCGAGTTCATCTAGATCAGCCTCATGGTACTAGATACATCAATAATGAATTACCAGTTGGTGTTGAACCTATTTAGTACATGTTTATTCCAGAACCAGAGCACATGATTTTCTATCTCGATAGTCAAAATCAGATGTGCTTTCAACGCACTGATGACCTTCCTTCTGCTCCTACTGAGCACTTGTTTCATCTTCGCTTAGAAGAACTAGGTCACTATGAGCTGGAAAGAGGATATCGTGTGCTGATATCACTGGAGCTGAATAGAAGACTGGATGAGATGAAACTTGATTAATTCAGATGGGTAAAGCCTGAAATCTTGAAAGAATTTGACAAGTTCTACAATGGCTCTTATGATGACTCTGAAGAAGAAGGTTACTTTTTGGCATCATCAAATAAGGGGAGATTGTAAGGTCACGCCTTATGATCTGATCAGTCAAACACATAACATGCTAATCCATCAGCGTTAACATCTACGAGTCACCAGCGTCAGCTTATATCATATTTGTTTGATTGTAATCTTTTGTATATTAGGTAGTTATTATAGATAAATATAGAATAGATCAGATCTCGTATCTTTATGATAAGATCGGTTCTTAGTATAGATTAGATTTAATCCCGTCAATCAAGGGATATACATGTATAGATTAGTATATACACAGCATTAGGGCAAACCCTAATGGTATGCCATTAGTTGTGGTCTAGTACTTTTGTTCGTGGATTTGTGTCAATTGTCTTTGTGACGAACACGTCTTCTTGGTGAAGACAAAACCTCTTTTCTTGGTGAAAGGAACATTTGAAGAACTTCTATTTTATTTACTTTCTTTTTATTATTTCGTTTAGATTAGCTTTGTTTTTCTTGTTCATAACTTGAAGTATATCCGATCAAATACAAACCTTCATTTCCTTGTACTGGAAATAATGTAGCTTCTAAGGAATCCTAGATTTAGGTATCTTAGAAAAATTATTTCTCATGAGATGGCTTGATTGATTGTTGAAGTCTATGGTATTATAACAATGCACTTTATTTATCAAATGTTTTCCCCGATGTAGAATATAACAATGCACTTTATTTATCAAATGTAGAATTTAAAGATTTCGATGATGTTTTTAGAAGAAAATGGAGGTTTAGACATAATATATTTGACTTGTGTGTCCTTATTATATTATTTTTGATAGTCTAATCTTCATATTTTCTCATTTGGCTTCTTAAGTGTAACTCATACGTTGTTATATTTTAGGTTAGTAGCAGGTTAACAGGAGATTTGAAGATTGAGAAGCTTAAAGATATTTAGAATACATTTTTATATATAAAATATTGTTAACTTGTATTATTGTCTGATTTAAATGTTACATTCTCGGATGTTTCCAAACTATTTTAGAAATTTAGACATTGGGACCATATTAACTTGAAACACCAATTGTTTTGAAAAAAAATATGTTGAAAATGTTAGTTAAAATATTCCATATAATGAATGTTTTATTACGTATATTCAAGGAATCTAAATTTATAGTATATCTTAGTCAAGTTTTGATAAATGGTTTAGAAACAAAAATGTATAAATGCAATCCTTAACACCAAACGAAGTTCAACACTTGGTTGTTTCTTCCTGAGTTCGAATATTTTTAAAACGTCTAGTTTTATTGATGGTTTTGTTCGAATTCATACGAATAGTTATTTGATTCTTGACGGTGGTAAGGTACTTTGAATAAATTTCTCATAATAAAAGAAATATCCTTTATGGGAGACTGGGTTTTGATAGATTGACTACTAAATAAGTTGAATCAAAGGGGTATTAAATTGAATACTCTTTTTCTGTTCTTTTCGTGATTTGGTTATATAATCTCGTGATCATCTTTTTCTTTATGTGTAATTTTGTCAGGGTGATGTGGCAAAAGTTAATTAATTAGTGGGGAAATTTTACTTTGGCCCTATGGAAACTAGTGTTATATCCGTCCGGTGGACGATAAACCGGTGTAATAAAAAAATATTGATTTTACTTTCTTCTATATCATTGGTTATTCAATTTCCTTACAAGAAACGATGGTTTGCTTACAAAATAGAAACCAAATATCTTTAGAAAGCCAATTAGTCAATTAAAAATACATATTTAAACTATATACCAAATCAAATGGATCTTCACGTCTATATAAAAAAATGAAAATTTTATTTTACATACCCATACATCATCGGTATATTTACCTTTATGAAAAGCTCTTGTATCCAATTAATCATTACTTGATAATTCAATCGCCTTAAAGTGAAATTGTTTGCTCCCAATTTTCAGAAGAATCCATCTACAAAAACAGCCTCAAGTTTTATGACATGTTTGGGTTAAAAGAACCTTAAATATAATAAAAAAAATCTGAGGGAAAATTGGTCAATTTATTCCAATTGCACAAATCAAAAATTCAGAATTGTCTTACAAAAGTTCTAATTCAAAAAGTACATGGATAAATGATTTCTAAAAAATATTTGAGAAAATGAGGCAGGAGAAAAATGAAGGGTTAAATTCAAGAAATATCAATGCACTTTCATTGATTTTTGTTGATTATAAGTAACATCATACTTTCTTTTCTTTCTGTTAGAACACTTTAGTTTGAAAAATTACCAATTATAGCAATGTAATCCACATACAAAACATGTTTCATTGCTAAATTATGGTGATTTTACAAAGTAAAATGCCTTAATGAGAAAAAAATTAGAAGTAGAATACTATAATTATGTCGAATTTTTGAAGTGCAATACCCTTTGATAAAAAAAATATATGAAAGTAAAAAATTGGAATGGAAATAAATGAAAGTAGGAATTTGGATATTGTAAAACACAAATAAATAAAATCACATTAATTCTTGCATTAAGTCCAAAACTAAATGAGGACAATTTTGTAAAAGGTTAGGATTTAAAATTCAATAAAAAATACCAGAAACAAAATACTAAATAATGCTTGACCAACTACCATATATTTTTCTATGTATTATTGCATTTATGGATATGTGGATTGTCATATTTCAAAAGATTAAAAATATAAAAACACAAATTTTCACTTTTTAATAATTTCTTCACCGAAAGTACCAATTTAACCTTGTTAATGAGGTTGGTTAACTTGCCACATATTATCATGTTAGCTTATTGGAAAAAAGACGAACTATTTTCCCCTGAAAACAACAAAGTTTCTGAAAGTTTTAGATTATTACTTTGTTAATATACCTTTTTAATCAATTAATGTATGATCATTTTTTATAAAAATTAAAACATAATCAACAAAAAGGTGATGGGGGCTAAGCTCAACCCAAAACTCCAAAATAAAAAAGAGAAAACTAACTAATAGAGTATGATTGTATTAAACTATCAAGAATTAGTTTTCAAAAAAAAAAATTAATTACCATATCACATGTATTTAAATTAAATGTGGATTAAATCTATTCAATTAGAAAGAAAAGTTGATGATTACATCGGTTACTTTTTTATTATTTTTGTAAATTTATAAATGTAAGTACATTATTATTTCTTGCATTGAGTCCACTAATTTTATTTTTAAATATTTACCCTCAATGTGCTCCCTACCCACTGAAATAGAACAAATAAAAAATATATAATAATTAATAATATCAATCTCTTCATGGTTAACCTTATATTTTATATGAACTTTTTTAATTTCTAGAAGCTTAAGTAAAACATGCATAGTGAGGTCCCACACATTGGAAATCCACACCCTAAAAGTTTACCTTCAGGTTTAGCATCCCCAGTTATTTAGAACCCTTCTATTTCCAGGCCATCTTCTATCAGAAAACAAATTATACAATTGATTTTTGATATATATATATATATATATATATATATTATATATATATATATATATATATATATAAGTATTAATATACTCATTCTTTGTCTAAATGAAGTAAAGAATAATAAGACTATTGTAGAAGGGTTTTTTTGTTTAGATTGGAATCAAATTTAGGGCTGCAAATTATTAATGATAAAGTACTGAGGAAAAGCATGTGACTTATCCATAATGTGATCTAGATTAAGGTGAAAAACATTGAAGAGGTGATTATGGTCACAATGTCATCCTTGGGTATATATTCTTCCAACACAAATAATCTCTTCAATATGTTTCTATACCCATGTCATCTTCAATATAGATCCGAGGATCCAACAATAATACGATGACCCATCAATAATATATATTTAACAAAATATATAAATACCAAATCAAAACATGACATCACAATCCCATGTCTGCTAGTACCATTACAAATGATGAAAATGTAATACTTTAGATTTGTAATTTTAATTAGTTAAATATGTGTAAAATACATAAAAAGAGTGAAGTACCAGTGGCGGGACTAGAAACTTGGCGGGACTAGAAACTTTTACAAGGGGTAGCACAAAAAGATCTCGATAAAAGATAATAAGATAATTTTTTTTAAATTACAATTCCAATATGTTCTCCTTATTTCATACATTTGATTTGGATGAGAGGATGTAATTTTTGGTCTATCTGTTGGGTCCGAAGGAAGATTATTAATATCAAAACTTAATGGAATAGGTTGTGGTTGTGGTTGAGGTTGGGGCCTTTTTTCCTCCACCATTTACACTACTACTACCAACATCCAATGTTCTTTTAAAAAAAAATTCAGTTAAACCCTACAAACACGATTAAAGATTTAAAAATTCATAATTGAATATTTAAACCTAATACAAGTGAATAACTATCTATCTAATTAGGTTTTCAATTTAAACAACTAAATTAAACAAAATCATAAAATATAAAAGATAAAAAATTGAATATTACTTGTTTCATAAATTCGTGAGTGAGCAAGTGGTCAAGTGGGAGAAGAAAGCCAAATTGAAAATAAGTTGTCGTGAACAGATATGAGATGATCAGAACTTAGGAGAACTGAATAAAGCAACACCAACTTTTTTCCTCAATGTCGTAAGTAATATTCTACACAATTACACAAAATAATCACATGTAAATGGGCTAAGTTACACCGGTTAATGAGCTATTGATTGGACTTATATTTTATATGTAATTGGACGTTTGAATCAATGTTGGATCTAAGATTATTACACATATTTCTTCACACTTACACTTACGTAGATAATTTTTTTTGATAGTTCAATGGATTAAATGAGGGGTAGCACGTGCTACCCCTACCAACCAACTAATTCCGCCGCTGTGAAGTACATCAAAATGAGTGAACTAACCTGGTATAGTGGTGTTTTATTGTCATTTTATCAAATTCATCAATACAACACAACTCCATGCTTACAAGTACCATTGCACATGTTTCCACTTTCCTGCTTTTGAGAAGATACAAAAATCAGAGCCTATATAATTAGATATAGTATTATCCATCGGTTTCCTATTATTTGAATATAAACAAATAGTAATACTAATAGAGAATTATATATCAATTAAAAATAGCATGAGATCATTGCGTAAGGTGCTAATACCATCAACCATAACAATATCAACATACGGATTTGAAAAGAGACATAACATAAGGGGACTTCAATTAAGTGATCTTGGATCATATTAGAAAACAACAATGAATTGGTGAACTTGTATTTGTATCTATTATAAAGTTTATCCTTGAATCTGTAAAAGACTTGGGTTGGGCTTGTCTGTAAAATACATCAAATGCTACTTCAAGATGCCACTTTTAAAGCCAGAAGAGAAGTTCTCTCACTGCACACACAAACATAGAAACACTAAAAATACTAAAAAAAATCATGTACCCATATAATCAAGAAGTTCCAAATTAGAAGGAACACAAGTCCCTCAAAAACTAACAAATAGTAAGGTGATACACATCTTGATAAATAATATGCAGAGATTATGGAATTGACACTAAATAAGAAAAAGGAATGAAGAAATTGAGGGAAATGAAGAAAACATAAATGGTTCTTAATGAACTCAAATCCAGAACCAATACTCTCCCGCAGCTTCTACGCCTCCTTCCCTCCCCCTCATCCGGGGACTTAGGGATGTCCATACCTTCAAGATGAAGAAGAAAAATGAAAATCCTGGTTGCTGCTAAATTTTATATATCATGAATCATTGGTTCATGAAACAGAGGGAAGAAGAGGAAGAAAAGTACCTGATACCACCAAGCAAACGCCCTGAATTTGAGGAAGAATGTGACGTCAAGAGAATTGAATATGAGAAGATTATGGAAATTTACCAATTATCAGTAGAAAATTGAAAGGATGAGTGAGTTAGAGTTGACTCTCAGCAAAGGAATCGACCATCTAGACTTCATAGGATTTATCATCAGGTGATTCGTCTTCAACGTATCGAAAAAGAAGATCATAAGTAAGATTCTAGAGTACGCATTGAAACACAAACTATCATAAATCACCTTCCGTAAACAAAAAACTTAGGGAAAGAAAATTAACAGAAACACACAATACACAAAGAACTCTATTGGATTTATATATAAGCCACTTCTCAATTTCAAGGATTCGTCAGGAGAATGAAAGGTCTAACGATTGAAGCAATTACGCTGAGATTGAACTCTTATATAGATGGGAACCACAAGAAGTTCGGGAACGTGGGAGAAGGAGGAGCAAGGGGTTAGGGGAAGATGAGGCGTAGAAGGAGGATGGACGTGGGAGGTGGGGTTGTCGCCTGAAAACCTCTGATGAGGTGATGGTTAACTATAAGTATAGACGGATGCAGATTGTAAGGAACATGGGGGAGAAGATGAAACTGCCAAGAAACGCTAAATACCGAGTTATTGCGGCCATTATTGCATTTGAAGAAAATCGGAGGGCTGAAAATCATGAAGCGGTTATCCACTCCCCGACGTTAGTAATATTAAAAAAATTCGCATTTACTTGATATTGGGTAATTATTTGGATTGAAAGCATCGAAAAGAATATGTCTTCGAGTCGTTTTGCCGACTATGATATGGATGCTTTTGTGGTACCGAAATAAATTTATTTTCATAGAGATTTTTTGTTGTAACTACCAAAAAGTTTTTGGTTTTACTCATATAAGATGTTTAAAATGTCTCTCCCTTCAAAGATTATAGATCAAGTCTCATATAACCGTAAAAAAATTAATTGTACTACTTACTGGAAGTCTAGGTTTTATGTTTGTTGGGTTTAATAGTTAAAAAGAAGCGTGTTTGATGTCCTGCAAATTGCAATTTACTACCTCTTCATTAGTTTTGGTATAATAACTTTTTGATTGATTGTAAAAAAATCGTGTGTACTTAATATTTTTATTCAAAAATGCATTTTCCCTCCATATATATTTTCAATAAATTCATTCAAAAATACTATCGCACCAAATATCATGCTTATTTAATATTTTTATTTGGTATTTTTAGTGCTATAATTAATCTGTTAATAGTTCAATTTTACAAGCATGTTTATATAATTTTTGATAAATAATAAAAGGATATTAAACTAAGTACAACATCTATTTTTTTTTCTTTTTGTGTTATTAAAATTAAGTCT